TTTTTAGTTTACAACCTAACATTTATTTTTGTGAAGCTTGAAACATATTCTTTTTTTTTTTTTAATAAATACCAATTGTTTTGATATTTTATTATCTAACGTAATACCATTCATACACTCTTAAAGGGGTCATATGATGCTATTTTAAAGATCATTATTTTGTGTATTTGGTGTAACAGAATATGTTGACATGCTTTAATGTTCAAAAAACACATTATTTTTCAAATACTGTACATTATTGTAGGTCCTCTATGCCCCACCTCTCTCATCTACATTACACTTGACTAAACCCTCTAAGCCTCTGCAGTTGTGGATCACACTTGGTACATTAACGAAGTGAATGATGCCTTGAAATGTAACTTTTTTCAGGAAAATCAATCTTATATTTTTTTTTTCAATAACATTTTTTAAATTATTTTTTAGAATTTTGGGGAGATTTTATGATACTATGCAATATTCATATAATTTTTTTTTTTCCCCTCTTTTTTTCATATTTTCTATTCATTTTCTATGTCTGTCATTTTTTACCATGAAGGTACCAAGTGTGACTTTTTATTTTACTAGCCTTTAACATATCCAAATCATGTACATGATTTTTTTTTGTGTGTGTGTTCAAATAGCTAATGTGACAAAAGTCACCAAGTTTCATCCCATTCCGATGAAGTAAAAAAAACAATTTCCACTCATTTCCTGTTTTGAAAGGTACATTTTTTTTCGGTCAAAAGTGACAGAAGAGGTTCAGAGGGACAGGGTTGTTATCATTGATTAAAATTAAACCATAAAAATGTCATTACTTGTAAAATAAAATATTGAAATTTTTTAAAACTTTTATTTTATTTCAGCTAGTTGCCAAAGCAACATTTCTAATTTTCGTTTAAAGTTGAAGTACTAAAATAACCAAAATAAACTAAAACTACAAACTTCAAAACTAAATAGACATTTATAAAATAATAATAATATAAATGATAAAAACACAACAATATTACTCAAACATTAACATGTAAAATTAAAACAGAAAACATAAAAATAAAATCTAATTCAAAATATAACAAAAATTATAACGGTATATCAATGACACTGAAATAATACTGGATATCAATCACTGAAGGGTAATGTAGTAGTAGGTGCTCGTCACTGGAGGTACCTGACGATAAAATCGGAATGTGCCTCCTGCATGATCAGTTTCTCAGAGCGGATGTGCTCCTGCTGTCTCGTGTCCACAATGTGGCGCTTCTTTAGGATCTTCATCGCAAATGTCTTCATCTCATCGCTCTTGAGCTGCACCTGAGAACAAAACAAGGGGAGATAAAACTATTACTTCAACTTTTTGTGTATCATCTCACACACACACAAAAAAATCATATCCGAATAAATGACTATAATATAACTACTATTGAAATACACAATATGATCCAAAATCCATGATGACATCATAATTTGGAGAAAAATGCACACACTCTAAAAAATGCTGGGTTGTTTTAACCCAACTTTGGGTCAAATATAGACTAACCCAACTGTTGGGTTACATTTTTCAATTACATTTTTAACCCAAAAGTTGGGCTAGTCCATATTTGACCCAAAGTTGGGTTAAAACAACCCAGCATTTTTTAGAGTGCACTTTTACATCAAACGTCATGTTTTCAGTGCAATATTTGTTTTATGTTACCAGTTCAACACGTCCAAATCCTCCAACACCAAGAGTGTCGATGATGTTGAAGTCAGACAGGTTTAGGTTGGAGAAGAATGCGTTCTCTGCCTCGTATCTGCATTTCAAAGAACAGAAAAGAGTGGAGGATGAATGGAAGAAAAAAAACATACAGTTATTCCCTCTGCCTATCTAGTGGGGCAACCTGAATCTTGATAAGCAAATCAAAACTCAAATCTCATGAAATTTTCATCACCCTTTGTCTAGATCACAGCTCTGTACAAGCAAGATATATTCTGAAGCTTCAAAAGGTGCATTCTGGGATGCTTTTTAAACAGTCACTTGTCACATGTTACTTTTCCTTCACTAGCCTGTTATTAATATTAATATTATTAGTATTAGTTTTATTATGTACCAGTCATTATATACTAGTCATCGTCATATACTCATCATATACTCCATAGGTTTTTTTTTTTTTTTCTGTTATGTACTGTACATCCCCAAAAGCGGGCTAAATTGCAGAAAGTTTGGGGGGAAATTGTTATACACAATAATATTATGTAGTAAATTCATACATGGTACCCAAAAATAAATCATGCCTAACTTTAAGAATTCATGTAGATGAATTTAGATCAAGATTTTTAAGATTATGACCCATGTTTCAAAACACAGGTTTCTATAAGGTCAGTTTTATTTTGAATGCAACCAACAGCTTTTTGACTGTAAAGATCAATGCGTTAGCATCAGTTAACTTTAACAAAATACGTTTTTGTTAACCACTAATATTTGCAATCAAAAAGAAGATTCATTAGAGGTCAAAATGACATAAGGATTCTGTAACATTGCAAATAAAATGCTGCTGGATGTCTGTTTGCAGACTGACCTTTGACCTGTGATATAGTTATATTAGCCCATGATGCAGAACTGGCCAATCAAATCCCTTCGCTTGAGCCATGGCCAATGACACGACTGAGCTGCTATTTAGTTTGGCAAAAACTGCTTTGCAGTGTCACACAGAGGTTACGATTTTCCATGCACTCTGCCAAGGGTCCTAAAAACCAGCGCGCGCACAAACAAGCGTGCTTTAGTTATTATTCAATCCCTTTCACATAATCAGTTATTAGGCTGGCGAGGCCAGAGAAGTTCAATGCTGACATGTTCTGCAGGAATAGAGCAATGCACAAACAAGAGTGCAGTTTTGGAAAGAGGCATGGATACAAGCCAAACCTCCTCACTAAGACTATAAACAGAAGAAATTCATTCCTCAGCTGAAAGCTGGAGATGTTTAATGTCTCACACCAGCTTCAGAGCTGGCAGATTCGACAGCAAGAGTCTCAAAGACCCATTAAAAATAAAATAAAAATATGCCAACTACTTTTTTAAATAATACTTCATAATATTAAGTAAAATAATATATTTAAATAAATTTGGATTGCATGATGACTTTTTAATCAAGCTTTCAGCCATTTGAAAACATCACCTGCTTTCAAATGCATGTCGCATGTCTTAAGTCAATCAACCAAAACATAACTGAGATTTAAACTCTCGAGGAGGAAGCAGGCATGGGTTCATGACACTGGTTCTAGCTTCCAGCCTTCTCTGTGCTCATGCATGCTGATAAAAAGGTCTGACAGCTAGCAACGTTTACATGAACTTCACATTTCTGCTGGACAATTTACTGATATTTTATGCCTGAGGAATCATCCAAATCAGTTTTAAAACTGCTTTGATTGAAATATAAACCTGTAAAGCATTCGCTGATTAAGCATGTGTGATGCTCCAGGCTCAGGGCTTCTCCAATTCATCATAGGTGAAATACAGAGTTAATTTGATTGACCACAAGGTGGCAATATGGAGCTTTATGGGTTCTTTATGGACAGCATCTACTGTATTTTGCAATGCCTTGCAGAATGATGCAGAAATGACACCTTAAGGAGAGCTGAACGCACTTGTCTCATTAGAGTGCTCTCTATCTGTCAGCGTGGCAGCTGGAGATTTATTTACAGGTTTGTAGTTTGGATCACGGGGGACGCAGTGCAGGAGGTGACAGCTGTAGATGTGTCTTAATAAGCTTTAATCTATGACAGTCACACAGGCTACAGACACCTCTTCATTATTCATCAGACGCTAATTTACACTGCAGATAAGCAGATACGAGGAAGAAAAGTTTCTATTTCGGTTCGGATATGACACAGAAGGGATTTTTTGAAGTGGGAAATGTGTTTCTGAACTATCCCAGAATCCCTCTTTCTCTCTGTCAGTGCCTGATATTCTCTCTGTGAAATGTGATATGGTTTCACATGTCTCTGAGCGGATTATTTTCTCATCGCCGCACAATGATTGCATCGCTTTCTCATCATGTTTCTTCTGATCATGAACAGTTGCTGGTTCTTTATAACATGTCTTCCGCATGCTAGCACAGCCTTTTCTGCTTTACAGTTCTAGAGTTTCAGCAAACATCCTTGAGCTGCCTTTGACAACTGCATTGTAATAGCTGCCATACCTCTAGACTTTTGTATTTCACTATCGCCAACTTAAAGAGGAAGAAACCTCATATAAAAGAGACCAACCACATTCACTTGTTTTATGCAATATTTGGAGGCAGCTAAATCTGAAATCAGACATACACTAAGCAAAAAGCAAAAAAAAATGGTTAACAATAAAGTAATGCTTTTAAGCAAGGATACATTCGATTGAGCAAAAATGACAGTAAAGATATTTAAAATGTCACAAAAAAATTTCTATTCAAATAAATTAAAAAATGTTTCTATTAAAAAAAAGAGAGTTCTCGTTATAGAGTTCCATTATGTAGACGTAATCGTTACAAGAATCCATTTATACCTGTATGTATTAGGATTTTAAATAGTAAGTTAGTAACTTTGATGGGATTTTTCCCCCCTTCTCTCACTTAATAATGTTGCTGTTGTTATTGTGTGTGGTTGTTGTGTACTACTGCAGCTTTTGAGTGCAAGATCAAATTTCCTGTAAAGGACAATAAAGTATAACTTAATTTAAATGCCGTTCTTTTGAACTTCCTGTTCATCAAAGAATCCTGAAAAAATGTATCACAGTTTCCGCAAAAGCAGCACAACTGTTTTCAACATTGATAATAACAAATGTTTCTTGTGCACCAAATCAGTATATTAGAATGATTTCTGAAGGATCATGTGACCAGATCAAGACTGGAGTAATGACTTTTTTTTTGTGTGTACTTTTTACTGTATTTTCATTCAAATAAATGCAGTCTTGGTAAGCATAAGATACTTCTTTCAAAAACATTAAAATATTTTACCGACCCTGTTTTTTGTCTCAAATGAAACTCAGTTCAAAAACTGAATCTTTCAGAAACTCAAAGCTTTCAACAAACTGGCAAATACGGTATAGTTTAAAAGCAGTCACTGTAACAGCTTGGGATCTTGTAAATATTACTGTTCTATTCTTTTCACATACCAACTAATAAACCTGGTTCACATTTAGAAATGCCAACAGAATAATGTAGCAGTATTTCTGTGCAATAGATTCTACATAAACTGATGTGGATGTGACATCACTAACTAGACTTAACAGACTGCCCACAATACTTTTGATAGTGATGTGGCATATCATGAATAGAGAATTTTTACTTTTGTAACTTTTGAATCCTTGACCATTATTATAAATGGACCTCGGGAAGAAAACATAATATTGAAATGTCTGCAAAGATTTCACCTACTTTGCCTTTGCCTCTGCGTCTTCACTGCCTTTGTTGGATACGTCTTCCAGACCTCCAATCAGATGTTTGTATGAGCTGAAAAGAATGGCACAAACAACATTGTTGGAAAGACTTCATCTTAAACTATAGTGGTCAAAAGTTTGGGCTTGATAAGACAGAACTGCCATTTATCTTCGAGAACGAACTTATTTCTATCCCTCAGTGACTCTTAATTACTATTTCATGTCTCTCCCTTAATTTAGAAAGTCAGTACTAATGTATAGTAAAAGTTTTATATCTACATGACATACGTCTCATTGAAATGTACCATAATCAGCTGTCACACAGATGGCTGATGGTTTGAGTCTCAGTCAGACAGGAAAGAGAGTTTTCCCCGCCGGAGGGCACATATGCGCTTCTCTCTCTCTCTCTGTCTGTCTCACTCTTTCCAGCTTATTGACACACGTGACACTTTAGCTATTTAGGTTGAGCTTGATTTATTGAGTTCTATAAGGGAGCAGATAAGCACTTCAAACCCACAGATTCTGTGTTCCACACACACATACAAATAGAAAGATCAGTGTAAAATCCACAGATGTTCAACGAACTGGAAAACCTGGACTGAATTACTTCTGCTGGAATGTCAATTACACTTGTGATGTTTTAAGCAGTGTATATAACGAAACTCTTTGCCACAGGATATACGTGACATATACTCACTCTCTGTCGATCACAAGGCAGGTGACAGACTCTGCTGCGATGACGTTAGCTGTTCTGATATCCTCCCTGTTCAAAAAACACAAACGCAGTACAGAAAAACATCATGTTATAATGTTCTGATACATTCAAATTATACACTGATATATTACTATTAAGATATTTTTTTTAAATTCAATAATTATACATATTATCAATTAAAATAATTACAAAAATATTATAAAGTAAAATATATTATTTTAACTACTATAACTAAAATAATATATTTTAATTATTTATATATAAATATATAAAACTTTAATTTTATATATAATTACAATTCTAATACTATTAAAATAATTATATATAAATATACATCATTATAGATAAACATACGTATATATTAATATTAGCTATTAAAATGAATTATAAGTATCCTAAATATTAATCATTACAAATTCATAATAATATTAAAATTACACACAAATATTAAGATTAATTATATATAGTAATAAAATAACAGATAATAACACAAAATTATCAAAACTTTAATATATTTGAGCTTATTTAATGCTGTCCTTCAATTTCATGAGGTGCTGTTTGAGATTTTTTTAAACAGTAACAAACTGCACATAGACAATCCAATCAAATCATCCATTTAAAAAAAATATTAAAAATGAAAAAATTATAATTTAAAAAAACAAACACATACATATCTGTCTCTATCTATCTATCTATCTATCTATCTATCTATCTATATATATATATATATATATATATATATATATATACACACATATATATAGAGAGAAATACAAATATATAAAATATATATATATTATATATCACAATAACAAAAGCAGTCAATTGTCAAAAGTTTCAGATGTAATGACAAAAATAAGTATTTAGAATGTATAATGTAACTTACAATCTGCAAAGGAATGGAAAATGTTTAAATACTCTATTAAATTTCATGGAACTTTACGTTATACACACATAAATTTAGAGAGAAATACAAATTTATAAACTATATGCATAATTTATATTAGACTACAAAACCTGTAGATCAAAATGAAAATTTATTTTGACTGAAAATCAAATAAGTCAAATAAGTTACTAAAATGTGAAAATATCAATATTTAGAAGTTTCAACACTGATTAAAGAATTAAGCATGCCTCAGAGTTAGCTGATTGTCCTCTTCTTCACTGTCGCTCCAGTCGCAGTCATCAGAGTCTGAATCCCACTCTGACCTCGTGATGCTTTGCATGTTCACTTACCGTCTGACCTGAGCACAGCTATACGCGCGCATATACTACTACAGTACATTACACTTCTATTTACACTAAAACAATCACTGCGTGACATCTGTCCCATCGTTGGCAGTTATGTCCAGAGGAAGAGCTCTCACACACGACTCTCTGCAAGCGAAAAGGTCTGGACACTAAATGGTAAACGCACACCCAAACACACATGCATGCGCAGCATCTGCTTCTGTGTCCAACTGCAAATACTGCCAGACACCCCACACACACACACACACACACACACGGCCGGATCCATTTCCAGTGAAACACACTTGTACTTGCAGAGGTGAGAATTCTTCACAACATATTGGCACTAAAGCTGTCACAGCACAAATACACAATAACGCTTCTGCAAAGGTCACAGCTGCTCCACAATATTACTGAACACAGAGAGACAGAGGAGAGGAGGAAAATCTGTCATCATTTACTCACCTTCAGTGACGTTCTAAACCCATATGAATTTCATTCTTCGGTGGAACCCAAAAGATATTTTTGCAGAATGCTAAAATTGCTTTTTCCTTAAAACGGCTACACAAAATGACAAAAAGTACCTTTATATTAAAACTTACGGAATGATTTTATGGAGCCATATTGTCCTGAGCACTATTTATGTTCAATGAATGGGAAATATGGGTTTGGACATAATGCTAAACTTGTCTTTTTGTGTTTTATGATATCAGTTGTTTTTAAATTTACTCTTAGTCCTGAGTCAAATGTCCTTTTTAGTCTTTGACATGTTTAGTCAACCAGTGCTGTTTTTTAATCTAGTTTTAGTCAATGAAAACTATTAGTCAGGCTGCATAATGGTTAAACTGATAATCACAATTAGTTTGCTCAATTATAATCATAATTATTGATCATGAATGTTGTCATCTGAGAAATTTTATCTGAATTGTTGTTATCACTTTCACCTATAAGCACATATAAAAAAAAATTAACTTTTATTCACTTATTTTACCTCATCTAGTTTCCTAAATGATCATATAAATTAACACTCTCTACATTGTGAAAACTGGTAAAACTCAAAAGCTTCTCTCAAAAGCTAGTGAAATTCTTAATATTAAACCCAATAATTCCAAATTATATTCATGTTTTTCCATTAAAACAACAACAAAAAAGACCATGTTTGTATTTATTACAGTTCGGTTTTGATGGCAGATTTTTTTTTTTGACTGGCAACCCTAATATGAAAACTTGTGGAAGTCTATATTTTTTTCTCTTTTTATTGAAGAAAATATAGATATTTTGGATATATAGTTTTTATATTTTAAACTCTCAACTTTTTTCAGCACTGTACTGCATCTTGATATAGACACAGTTAGTGTTTAATGATGTTGGTGCCGTCTCATCTTAGTCATGGAAAAAAAGGTTGTCAACAAATATTTTTCATCAGTGTTTTTGTAAAGTAAATTAACACAATTTTATGAAAAGTCATATGGGTTTGGATTGTCATGAGAATATAAATAATGACAGTTTTCATTTTTGGGCGAACTATCCCATTGATTGTATTGTGTGTGGGTCAGTGTGCTGTAAGTGGGACACGTTCACCTGCTTGAGGAAACACAGCAGGAAAAACCTACACCATCAGTGCTGCCAAACGTGTCTGTGAACCAATCAGGTGTCAAATGCTTCAGTACACATACACACACACGCATGAACTTAATCCAGGAATCAACAGATTCTCCTATCAAGTTCTGGACACTGTTAATGATCTCCGTAAAGCGCAAGCCAACCAACAAGGTTTCTGCCGTACACAAGGGCACAGCGTGAACTCTTACAGGACAGCATTTAATTGATCTCTGAGGAATCGGACTGACCGTGTACAATGTTCTGGCCTATATTTCACCTCCGATCACAACCTCGCAGCTCGCATCAGAAAACTGCCGAGCAGGACACCTGATACACAACGGAGCATATCAACACGCTCTCAGGATCACTGTTTCCTAGTAACACAACCAAACGCAGGATTATAATCAGGGTAAACAGTCCCCTTAAACCAGACACCACTACAGAAAAAGAATAGAATAGAAAGGAATAAAGCACAATTGAATAGAGCAAAACAGAATAGAGCATGATAAACATGAATAGAATAAAGTGGAAAAGAAAAGGGATAGTTCGCCCAAAAATGAAAATGAATTCATTATTTATTTACCCTGTTGTTGTTTTAATGACATATGACCTTCTTTCTTTTTTAGACCACAAAAAAGAGAAAAAATAAAACGTCCAGTTCGCGCTCATCCATATAATGGCAGTGAATAGTCATTAACCAGCTTCAAACCTTAAAGAAAAAGATGCAAAAGTATCACATAAAGAATGATCGCATGTGACTTGTGCTGTATTTTCCAAATGTTCTGAGGGCATGTGATAGGATTTGGTAAATTCAAAATAAAAATGAATATATTATTTAGCGAACATCCTGGCTGTTGGCCTGCTGTGCACGACTGTTCATGAGACCGTATCAGCGCAGCAGTTCACTCTGGCTTGCCCAGGAAAAGCACACAAGCACACCATTTCGAGAAATCAAATCTACCAAAACACTACACTTAACACAATGCCTAGAAAAGGTTGACAAAAGTATACTAGTATACATGTACTTTCTTGTTTCAGGTGAATATCTCTGGACCGAAACTTTTCGTTGTGTTCAAAGCGAGTTCTTGCATTCATATCTGTCGACTCTCATTCTGACCGTTATCTAACCAGAGATATTGACCGCAAAAATGAAAGTATGTGCATCATTTTCTAGGAGCCCTGTTTCATGTCGTATTGTATTAATCTAGATTTCTCAAAATGGAGTGTTTGTGTGCAGACCAACAACCAAAGAAAGGATTTTCTCTAAGTTTCGATCAGTTTTTTTTTTTTTTAACCAAACCTTATCGAATGCCCTCAGAACATTTGCAAATTATGGCACAAGTCACTAGAAGGTTATACAGTAACGGCACCAGGGTGAGTAAATAATGACTGAAATTTCATATATGGGTGAACCATTCCTTTAAGCATGTTAAAGAAGAATAGAATAGAATAGAATTCACATATACATTCACAGAGTACCTCCTATTCTCCTGTTCTTTCCTCAAGAACTTTTGTCTCTTAAGCCTTGAACTGGAGCTCTGATCAAAGTCATTTTAGCATGTTCCTGTTTTGTTGATTCTAATGCATGTGTAACTGGTCATAGTCATAGAGTTTTTGATGCTCTGAAAACAATAAAGCCAACAGCCAGTTTATGATTTCAAGATTTTTACAATTCCAAGACCGTTTTTGTCAGCAGCCACAAGATGGCACCACATCCTTTAAAAACTAAGGTGAATCTCACAAAACATATGGTCACATTTCACCACATGTATATATACTGTATATATATATATATATATATATATATAATCGATTAAAAAAAAAAACGAATTAATCGCACATTTTTGTCTGAAATTAATCACAATTAATCCCACCTAACATTAAAGTTGTTAAATATATATTTTATATTGCAATAATTTCACATTCAATCTACAAATTAATGTAGAAACAACATAAAGACAGTATATTTTTAATATTTGTTTAATGGCATCTTTTTTATGACTGAAGGCAAGTATCACTGATATCAATACTACTGATGTCTCTATGAAAATGTTTTTTTTCCCCCTAATATTTAACCATTGACTATAGCCATTCAACATTACAGTATGATTGAGAGCTATCAATTTTAACATTTATTAGACTTTTAAAAATAACAACTCCAGCTGCTCCAGGACAGTTTTGAAAACCATTTCAGAAACATGTTTTTAAATATGACTCATATAACAAATACTTGCATGCAGTTTTAATTGCCTTTTTGGTAACTTAATGACTTAACTGACAACATAACTACGACACTGCAAGCTCGTAGTTTTTTTTGCGCTTTGATAGGAAATGATACAGGCTACAGCGCGCGCCGCCGCATTTGTGCGTGCAATTGAAGAGCACGTGCTACGAGGTATACCGGTAGGCTGACAGGACAGGAAAAATCGCTTTTACTGACATATGGCCTGACAACATCTCATCTGACCGCGGTTCACTGTTGTTCTACTGAAGCTACATAGTCACCTGTACCTTTTCCGCACTCTATTGACTCGCGGAAGTTGGAGTGCGCGTCTGAAAGTCTCCCGTTTGATGTGGTCGTAAAATGTTCTGGTTGGAGACTTTATGCATTTAAATAAATGCAATTCTTGTCAAGAAAAAAGAGACAGAAGCAGCAGTTGTGTGGTGTGGCCAACCCTATCTCTGCCCCTGCGTTAATTGCATTAAATATTTTTATAGTTCAATGGAAAAAAATTTATCACCTGCGTTAACACATTAATTTTGACAGCATTAATATATATGTGTGTGTGTGTTTCTCTTGATTTGGGGCCAAAAATATTTTTGGTTTTGTGAGATTCCGCTAATGAGAAACCCACCTGGATGTGCCTCCAAATATCCTGTCTGGAGTTTAAATTTGGTATTAAATCTGACTTTAACAGTAGTGTAGAGGACAATCTCACCCTTGTAGGGCTTTTTCCCCAAAGGAGTCTCCTTTCCCCATAGAACGCAAGTAGACGGGCTCCTGACCCGGACAGTCCTCTCGAGTCATCGTCACCTGGACAGGGATGAGAACAAAAGAAAGAAATATTAGCATGGGATCATCTTCACAGCATCACTGCTTGCACTTTCCACTGAAATAGACTTACCTTTCCTTTACTGATAATGAAGAACGTGTCTCCTCTTGCCCCCTGGCGAATGATGTAGTCGCCATCCTCATAGTGGGTCTATAAGAGAGAGAAAATTGGTTAGAGGACGTGAGGATTATATGGAAAAAGAGGATGGAGAAAAATACAGGTGGCACTTTCTACAAAGAGGGTATGAATAGAGGATGTGCAGACGCAAGATCCAGCAGATTTCTAAACGGAAAGAGGCAGCACAACATCTCTGACCTTCAGTCTGCTAAGACCTTGACCTCCAGACACAACAGTCTGAAATCAGATATGACCAGCAGATAGCAAACTGAAGCCCACAAAGACTCTGATACAAGCAAACTCTGTTCTAACATCACCTAGAATCTGACCACCAACAAAACACCCACATACACACCTGCAGTCACAGGAGAGAGAATTTTGATTTATTATCCAGAAAATGATCATAAATGTAAAAATTATCAAAACTACCAAAGTACCAAAACTAATTAACAAATACTTGTACATTATGGCATTGCGAAATCTATTGCAAATAATAAAAAAGTTTGAACAAAATGTACTTAATTTATGTGTGTTAAAATTAAGTACTTTTTTGTTCAATTTTTTTTTTTACTTGCGACAGATTTCACAATGCTAAAAACTCTTAATTGTCCTTAGGCTTATTTGTTCATGTTTATTGTATTTTGATTGATTTTAATTACATTTACATTTAGTCATTTAGCAGACGCTTTTATCCAAAGCGACTAATAAAATCAATCAAAGTAAATGTTACATAACAAAAACCCTATATACTGATTACTATATATGATGTCATTTTGTAGATGTGTTTTTCAGAACAAGCAGACTTTACTGCATTAATGCAGTTTTGGATATCCATAACTTAAATTACAGTAGATATATTGTAATGGTCCCAAAAGTTGTAACAAAATTAAGAATGAATTAAAAATGTATTAATTTCAAAACATAACAATGTTTGAGAAGAAAGTCCAAATACTTTTCGTCTTTAACATAACAACTTTAACATAACTTATTTTATCATTTAACACAGTTTATATGAGCAATTAATGGAGGAGTAGCATCAAATATAAGTGACCACAAAGATGATGACGGCAGGAAAGATTCCATCCATGTGTCTAGACTTTCATTCCCCAGAACCTCCGGCATAATTAACATATGCAAAATTAACATTTAAGTTCAAAAAGCTTCAGCAAATTTCAGTCTCATTGAAGGTCAATTATTAGCTGAAGAGACTCCCTCCACTCTCTACAAATTCATAGCATTTTTTTAAACAAATCACATCACAAAAAAAAAAAAGAGAACTGGAATGAGAGTTTGACCTGAATTTGAATAAATCATCATCACTGAGAGATGATGATTGATAGGTGAGTCATTTTAATGACACAGAGCTCACAGTGCCATTAAATACTCTCATTATTTGATCTTACTTCGTCACATCTGCTCTTCTGTTATTGTTTTGTTAGTGAACGTTATAAATGAGAGTTCATGTCTGAACCAATGGGTTAAGGTTTTCCTGGTTAGCATGAACCAGCTAACCCCTGCTGGTAGATGCCATAAATTCAGCTTTCTGTTGCCAAAAAACATCATTAGCCATTGAAGCCCATTTAAAAGTAACTGTTTTGACAGAAATAAAAAATATTAGCAAGCAACAGTGTTGTCATTGTTAACTAAAAGCTATTAAAAATATGTTGGTACTCAAAATAAAGCTAAAATAAATCAAATATAAATATTAGATGAAAACTTAAAAGTTAAAAATAATAAATTTTGCTTTGGTAAATAACTGAAAGAAATTTAATTTGAAGTAGAAAAAGGACTAAAACTAATTGAAATATAAATTAATTCAAGTTAAATAAAAAAAATATATTAAAAAACAAAAACTAATACAAATTAAAAAATTTAAATGAACAAAATAAAAAAAATACAAAATCAAACAATTCAAAATATTAATCAATACTATAATAGTATATAAATAATACTAAAATTGGCAAGCAACATAAAAACAGTGAATATGTCATTATATTATAGTAGATATAATATACCAGAGACCAACATTATAAAGTGTATGTCAGAAACTGAGCTGTATCCACTCAATCTACTCTGCTGTCAATGTTTCATGGTTGCTGTCTAAACAGTACAAATCTGATAGTGCCTGTATTAGACATATTAAACATAAATGTAATTACTGTAATAATACAAGCCAAACCCATTTCTGTGTTGTTGTGTTATTGTTATGAGGCTGTGAATCATGTTTTATTACAAAGGCCGGACCACAGCCACTGCAAGATTATTAACAAATCCACACAGAATGGAAAACAACAACCTTTCACCCCTAAACACAGGGAGCTGTGAGTCTCCATCACTCACTCCCCAGTGATAAATGTCGTATTCTAACGAGGTGAAGAGCGGTGATGTGGACCTTTATGTCTGCGAATGATAGACTGACTGATGACTAAGATATTCACAATGTCTACAGCTCATCTTCTCATGCTATTCTTGGATGAAATCATTGATTTTTCTCCTTTGATGCTTTGCGCAAAGTGGACCTCATATGTCGACTGAGAACCGGTTATTCTCCATCTTATACAGAGAAAGAGTATAAACAACTTATGATTCATTCCACTACAACTTACTGAACCACGTGCATTCACTATAAGATAAGAAAGTCTAAAAATGCTCCCTAAATTACTAATGGTATGAACGAGGAGCTTTTATAACTTGAGTTGTGAGTCTTTCTTGCTGATAAACAGTCCCTGATGGAATCTGCTGATTCACTTTTATTCACTTTTAAATATGAGGCTGCAAATAATCAGTGGATAAAATCCTTTTTTTCCACTGTACCACAGCAGTACAGCCCCAATCTCTTTTTGTGTTCCCGTCATTTTACTGACGACTGCTTCTCTAATCTCAGGGAGTTCAACAAAATGCTTGCTCTTAAAAGATGGCTCAGTACCCTGTTTATTTGGACCAGCTGGCTCCACTGAATCACAACCTGTATGATAAATAATAAAAGGGTTATATTTTCTATCAAAATACGGAACTATGGGCGAATCGTTTTCGACACACGGTTGACCAATCACAACAGACGGGCCATGTGACCAATCAGAGCAGAGTAGGCTCATGGAAAGGAGGGGTTTAGAGAGACTGAATCTTAGAACTTCTTTTTTTGGTTTCTTTACATTGAGCTTATCTAAATAAAATTACAAGCAAATAAACCACAGCTAGAGTGGTGCTTGTAAAGTTTGAATGTTGAGCGATCGGTGCACAGAGATGTAATTGCTTAGATTTAATTACAGTTGTGTTTGCTTAAGGATCAGGAACATTTCCGTACCTCCTCAAGGACATCAGCCAGCTTGCTCAGTATTTCTTCTGGAAGACCCCGGAACGTCAGGACACTGTCAATCAGAGACACCTTAGTTCATTACGTCATTGGAAATCTTTTGTTAAAATGAAACAATCACATCTGTAAATGTGTGATGAATTGGATCCTTATCCAAAGCTGAAGAGTCTTTTGGTGTTTGTTAATGTCATGCAAGTTTCATTTTATTTCCCACACTTCATGTAATTCCGTACTTATTTTCACTTTACATCGGGTGAATTTTTAGGCTGACCATATGGTTGAAACAGCTGGTCACCATCACATATTGCAATAAACTCAGAGCTGCTCTCTGCCACGGAAACAACAATAATATCCCTCAATCACCATAATAAAACATTTCTAAATATATCTGGTCATGTGTTGAGTAATGGAGGAAAAGGTTTGCATCTGGCTAATCTGTATACGCGGAGCTAATTTGCCACAAAGACAAGGCATTATCTACATTACGTAATAAAAGCTGTAATTTATCTAAATCTAAATAAATCATGTTTAGGAAGAAATGGCAGGAGAGGCCGACTGATCCGCTGTCCTGAGGGACAGTAGATTGTCCCTGATGAGATCTGGGCATCTTTGTCTGTTGCATTAGCAAACGCACACACATTTAAAGGGACGGGCTGCGTCCATGTTTCACTGTCGTGTGTCATGAGATGATCATACATCAATAACTACTCCTGCATAAATATTTCATATGCCATAAAAAATTCAAGAGTCCATTAAAGTCTCCTATTACAGTTTAGCGTAAGACTGCAGCAGAGAAACCTAAAGGTGCTATGGATACACACAAGCCATTCTGGGCTAATATTTGGTCTGAAAATGACAGGATTTTTATTTTATTTAATCATTTAGTTTGAAAAGGCTGCTGATTAACTTTTAAGAAATCAAAGCGCCCCCCACCACCCCGAGATTAAAAATACCAGGCCTGTAACCATCGTAGACATTGGGGGACCACTACAGGAGACGCATCTGCCCAATATTAAAGGGATAGTTCACCGGAAAATGAAAATGAGCCCATGATTTACTCACCCTCAGGGCATCTTAGGCGTATCTAACATTCCTCTTTCAGACGAATCCAATCGGAGTTATATTAAAAATTGTCCTGGCTCTTCCAAACCATTCAATGGCAGTGAATGGTGCCCCTGTTTTTGAAGCCGAAAAAAGTGCATGCATCCATCATAAAACTACTCCACACGGTTTCGGGGTGTTAAAAAAGACCTTCTGAAGCGAAACGATGCGTTAGTGTAAGTTAGCGTTTTTTATTTATAAACTGTAATCTCCAGCTTCCAGTTGCTCAAGCAGGCGTGTTCAAGACAAGGCGTTCAAGCGTATGACGTAGGCGTAACGAAAGGCGCAACGTAAGCTCTGGAGAGAAGAGTGTAGTCTCGTGAGAGTAAGCTCCAAAAGCCAGGTGGAGTAGTTTTATGATGGATGGATGCACTTTTTTTGGCTTCAAAAACAGGGGCACCATTCACTGCCATTATACAGCTTGGAAGAGCCAGAACAATTTTAAATATAACTGCGATTGTGTTCGTCTGAAAGAGGAATGTCAGATACGTCTAAGATGCCCTGAGGGTGAGTAAATCATGGGCTAATTTTCATTTTTGGGTGAACTATCCCTTTAATGTTCATAAATGTTCATTTTAAACTGAGTTGAGAGTACTACATTCTTCTTGGGTGAGTAAATCATGGGCTCATTTTCATTTTTGGGTGAACTATCCCTTTTGCAAAGTACCATCAGATATTCATTTTTACAAATATTTTTTAATTTATATATGTTATTTATGTACTGTAATATGAATAGATTCTGATATTATTCACCCAGTAATAAAATCACACATTTGTATTGTTTTAAATATATTATTAATAACCCAAAACATTTCTCTTTCAGTCATGTTATATTTGTGCCAATCATGTTACATTTAAAATGTTAAGGGGTTGAAGGTTAGTACAAAAATGGATAATAACAGCCTTTGCTGGCAAGCACATCATTATTCTTGAGCTTTGTACCAAGAACAAATTTTCAGTAAAAAAAAACTGATTACTATGATTTAGATTTTTCACCAGAGAAACTTAGTGCTGATATGATGGGAAAAAAAATATTAAAAATATTATAAAATATTATTTATAAATATTAAATATTATTTACACATAAAATGTTTTTATTATTATTATTTTAAATGATTATATTTTGCATTCAGAACTAAACAGATAAATAGCAGCCTATATCAGCAGAAAATCATGGCATCACACACGTACATTGTTTCATAATAATTCTCTCCGATTCTGGATTAGCTCAGGACTAAATATGAAACCTAAATTTCATATTGGTCTATAAACCAGATCAGTAAAATGCACAAGTTCAACTCAGCATCTAATGCATTCGCATGCACTCCACTTTTGTTTGTTAACGGCTGTTAGTTCAAAGCATAATTGACAAAATTAGGTCTAATTATTCAAATAATAAATACAGCAGCAGGGATGGGGTAATATCATTAACATTAGATGAAACCACATTAGATGGATCATTAAAAACGATCGCATTACTATTCATTTTTCTCATGTTAATACATAAGACAGAGACTAAGAGAGAGAGAGAGAGAGAGAGATCATGAAAGGAGGAGAGGAAGGAGATCGGGAGCTATAGAGAGTTTCTGTGGCAATGAATTTCAGAATCTTCCAAGAAACTCATTTGTTCTGCCTCAGTGTCTTTAAAGTCTTTGATGAAGACTTCTTTCATCCAGTTTGGCTCAGTAGCCCAACAATGCAGAATTCTGTCTTTAATATGTAAAATATGCCCCATGCTCTCTTCTCTGTGTGCCATTATGCAAATTATGATGTCAGATGATAAAGAAAGAGATGCACTTCCATAACAAGACAGCTGCTCACCTTTTCAATAACTCCATATTTTCTGCATGTTTAATGAGTCCCGTCCTCATCATGATGGTCTGGAAGCACTGTCTGTCGATGGCCCATAACTTCACACTGGTCACAGCTGAAACACACATCAGAAAACACGCCATCAGTTTGTGAATGCAATTTCCTAATCATCAGCACCCAAAGCATTCCTGAGAAAGAGACGATATTCTAGGAAAGTATGTTTGATTATTGCCTCTCGGTTTACTGAACTCTGTTTTCTGCAAGACTGTGCACTTTTTTAAGACATGCGAGTTGTCTTCAGCTGTCTATGAAACAGAAACTACTGTATGATATTAAAAACTTCAATGATATATTGAAACCTTGTTTTTTGAGAGGGCTGATGGACTGTTGTCAAAGTGACAAACTGGTTTCGTGTATATTATAGTCATCGCTAAAGTAATAAAAACAAGGTGACATTGATGTATGTGAAAGTGACTATTTGGAAATGATGCCTTATTTTGTCAAAATGTGTTTATTATTGATTTGCATTCACACAAAAAAATACTGAAGTGCTTCATACTGCAGAGAGAGAAAAGCTCCAGCAGTGATGAAAAATAATCAGAAAACACTGAAGCATAAATAAACAGTGAGCTTTTACATATGAATACAGTCACTGACTCACCTCACGCAGGGGAATTCATCTGAATTTATGATAGGCTCACATATTTTAATAGACTCTGATAACAACAGGAAATAAACAGACTAAAATACTAATATACTAACTTGGCACATGAGTTATTTATCATGTGAAGTGTAAATACATTCATTATTTATCACACCAAGACACACACCCAAGCCTAAGAACCACAGCATCTAGAAGAACAAACAGTTTGTTGTTAGATATAGAGCATGAATGTACATTCCAAATGTGAAAATCAAACTCATTGACACTATTAAAGTCAGCATGAAATGAAAACTCACCGTCTATTTTGTAAATGCAAGACAGATCAAAAGTCAAAAAATATAATTAAAAAAGTACAGTAGACTTTGCAAAAGCAAAAGGCCATTTTGCAAATGCTCCAACAAGATGGCAACTGTTGACCGTGGTGACCATGTTTATTATATTTGCACACTGATTTTTTGCTCCACACTGTACATTGTAATACATGACAGGGGATCAGTGGGAAATGTCACAGGCACTCGATTATTTGATTATTCCTCTTCCATTTCTAAATGTTACAGACCCACCATTATTAAGATGTTTGAGTGGAGGAAATTTCATAGAACTTGCTAGAATACATGTGTGCACTCACACACAAGGTCAAACAGTGATGTTTTCTAAACTATTATGTACAATTGACAATGTTTGCCAGCATGGGCTGACAATACCCATACACAGTCTGAGGTTGTGTACTCTAAAACAAAGACGAGCTATTGGTTAAAAAACATTTGACAGGAAACAATTAATGCAAAGTAAATAAATGGCTAAAACAACATCTGGTTTTGAGAACATTAAACTATTTCCTCTTGCTTTGTGTATTTAAAAGTCCTGATGTTACTTTGGTTCTGTAAATGAAATACATTCCTGTAGCTCAAACAAAAGCGCATGGCTTTAGCAATGCAAAGGTTATGAGTTCAATTCCCAGGGAATGCAATGTAAGTGTAAATGAATGTAAATGCATAAATGTAAATGGTGCCGTAGGGCCTTCAAGAAATAGTCCACATAATCCTCTATCTATAATGTGAAAAAGTCATCTCGTCTGAATCAGGAGCAAAATATGCACAGATCAACCACAGTTTACAAGCAAAAACAGTCCAAAATCTAAACAAACATTTTTGATTGTGAGAGAACAGCAAGGTAATGGACTTTTTCACTGGAGAAAGCATTATTATGGATTATGGACTGGGATTTTGGCCAAAAATGCCTTAATAGATTTGTTTCTTTCAAACAGGCAGCTTTTCACTTCACAAGACATTAATTGCTGACAGATTAATTGAGTCGTGTGGATTATTGTGATGTTTATCAGCCGTTTGGACTCTCATTCTGACGGCACCCATTCACAGCAGAGAATCCATTGGTGAGCAAATAATATAATATTACATTTTTCCAAATCTGTTCCAATGAAGAACAAACTCTACATCTTGGATGGCCTGACAGTGAGTACATTTTCAGAAAATTGTCATTTTTGGGTGAACTATTCCTTTAATTAAATATTTTAAATGCATTTGTGATGACATGATTGAATCACACAAACATTCAAAGGTAATCAGAAATGCATGTGACCCCATTGCATTTGTTTTGTAAACACAAATAACCATCCAGTTGAAAGATTTGCCCATGCACACAGCTTAAGCTTCTTGAGTATGTCTGATATCAGCGGTGCTTGACAAAAATAACAGCGAGCGTGTTTGTGCTAAGAATACAATTCAGGTATATTTAGAAACTAAAGTGTGCAGACTTTTGTGTGCTTCATCAACATGAAGTAACGCTGATGTAGGAAGTGTCTGTAGTGACAAAATCATAGACTTTCTTCTCGACAAAATGCACCAGCAGCTGTGACAAAAGTAAGCTCAGCTTCATTAGTTACACATCACTAACAAAACTTTTTACAGCTCTGTTTATCTTTTAATGATATAAGATGCTCTCAGTCATTTATTCAAATCTCAACAGGATCGATAGTTTTACTGAATGTTGTCATAGTTAACTGCCCAAGGAAACTGTGTTGTTCTGAACGGAGGAAAAAAGAGATAGCGGCCCAACAGAGCCAAGATTGTTATTTGTTCCTGTTGGTTTTTAGAAATCATCACCTCTGTCAAGTCAAGACACGCAGCCTGAATGAACAGCTAATATTCTCTCAAGACCACAAATCAGTCTGGCCAGGTTATATTGGTGTCATCATGCTGCAGTTTTATAGTAAATGTTGCTGCAAAGAGAATTGTGTGACTGTACCATGCTCAAGCAACATCTGTCGCATGTATTTGTATTTTTGTATTTATCTTTACACAGGCATCCTAATCATGCTATAAATCTCATGCACGGCCAACAGTCATGGGAACAGTACTGTTTAAAGGAATAGTTCACTTAAAACTGAAAAATTGCTGAAAATTTACTCACCCTCAGACTTAAACTCATACATCTCATTTTGCATGTTTTGATTGATTTTTCTTAATTACAGATACGCCTACAAATTTACAAATGTGTTAGACTGATGTTTATCCAAGTTCATCCGACTGATATCTGACAAAGGATAAACAGAATTCTCTCCAATACATCTATCACAACAGGTATTGCTAAGACTGAATTCAGTTTTGTGCCTGACTGACTTCATCGGGTCTGAGCTAAATGCTTTAGATTTTCATCTGACACCTGTAGTTTTTTCTGCCTGGAGGGAGAGAAAGAGAATAAGAGTGAGAGCAAATAACAAAAAGAGCGGTATGAGCCACACAACGGAGAGACAGACAGTCCTGGCAGATTTATTATGTAGTGAAAAACAGCCGTTATGCAGGCGGTGACTTTACTGTTTAAAACACCCACTCTCTGCTGTGTATTAAAGAGAGAGAGAGTAAAATCAGCTCCTGTTTGGATCCGTAATGACATTCAGCCCCGTGGCAGATCAGAATTCATCAGATACACACAACAACTTAACAGCATCCACCTACACAACCGCCAACATATGTTCATGAAGACAAACATTACTTGTGCTGCATTTCAAATTTACTCCATATTTACCTGAATCTAAATCCCTCCTTAAAGCTAGATCAAATGTCTATTTAACAAAGCCCAGTACAGCTTCCATCCTCTGATTTATGCGTGTATTTCAGGCGCCGGAGGAAATGGTGATCACTACAGCTGGACGCAGATCTCATTGCTAATACATATAGGGGCTGCGTATGGGCCTGCGCAATATACTGAATATTCACAATGATTTTCCTTGTAACAGAACTAACAAGTAACATTAAGCACCCAATAAACTATATAGACTACAACAATAACATACTGTGTTTTACAAATGCTTACATTATATTGTTTGCATATAATTAATAGTAATAATGTATAATATTATTAAATTAACATTATTATATTATTAAATAAAAAATGTTACCTACCCATTAAACAATATGCAAAGGACTATAACAATAAAACATAATAAGCTTTAAGAATATTTGCGTAATATTATTCGCATATTATTATATTATTGTTTTCTTTATAAGTAATAATAATAATAATGTACATTATTATTCCATAAAAATTAAAAAATGTTGAAACATTAAGCACCCATTAAACTAGTGTTGTCAAAAGACCCGGTATTTCGGTACCAAGTCGGTACAAAAAAAATGAAAACGTTAAACAATATTCAATAGACTACAACAATAATATATAATAAGCTTTAAGAATATTTGCATAACAACTTATCATAAAATATATGTAGTATTATGTTTATTCTGAAACATTAAGTACCCATTAAATAATATGCAATAAACTACAACATTATTTGTTATGAAATATTACTATAATAATTATTATTATATTATTAATAATAATTATTATTATTATTTGCAACAGTGCTTATGATGTTTTATTGTTGTATACTATAATATAAATAACATAATATATTATCTGTTTCTTAGTAGAGAATGAATGACTGTTAATCTAAAGAATCTCCAATACATATATATGCAAATATATGATAATATTTTTAGCTATATCATTTAGCTATATGTATGATTATGATATGTGTTTAAATTACATTTTTAATATTTAGAGCTTCTGTTCTGTTGGGAATATAATTCCATATTTTAATTTGAATTTCGGATTGAAATAAACATCGCCGTGTCATATCAGTCCGTCAGAAAAAGTGTTTTTTTTATTTTTTTTTTAGTTAGTTGTAATTCGTGGCTGAATATCTCTAGCAGGTTTTAAAAGCCCTTTAAAATTAAATATGAACTCAGTTTATATTATCTGTTTCTTAGTAGAGAATGAATGACTGTTAATCTAAAGAATCTCCAATACATATATATGCAAATATATGATAATATTTTTAGCTATATCATTTAGCTATATGTATGATTATGATATGGGAAGGTTTTGAGTTTCAGTAGTTTCCCTGCAGGCCATCAACACCCAGAGATTCATCC